TCTCTTGTTCCTCCCGTGCATTACGCTCATTTGATGGCCAATCGTGCGAGACACTATCTTCGATCTACCGATTCCGGATCAGGTAAAAAGGACAATATTTCGTGTACTATAATGAAGGTGGGGGGTGAATTGGCAAACACCATGTACTTTGTTTAAAATTGTATCCCGAAATGTTCATTTCAATGTCATGGGCAATTAAACCGACGTTTGAATTAAACAATGTTTTATAAATGTCATGATCAAATGATATACTGTATATACAGTATATAATTCACGCTGGTGTATCAAGATCTCAGTTTATTTTATTCTAGTATCTGCAAGCCACCAAACCTAAATAATTTAATGATGTATAACATCTTCTTTATTGTGAAATGGCTCATCACAAATTCCATTAACTTTGGACAATCATAATAATGAATTATTCAATTGTGGAGCACACGTATGTGTAATTTTATTACAATGACAACGCTAGATTGACAAGTTACGTGTTTGGAGAAATGCATTATCAAAATGAATCAAATCTCGTTGCCTTATAAAATATATGTTTCTGGGAATGGAATTTAATGAAACGAGGAAATTTTACCAACAAAAAAGTTAGAAGATGATGGAAGAAATTAGAAGAATAAAAATACTTTTGGGGTGCGAGTTCTTTGTTTAGGTTTAGTCTAGAAACAAAGAACCCGATGACATTTCTCTATACAAATGCAGAAAATGCCCAAAATTCCCAACAAGAATGCAAAAAGGGGAGTCCATTAAAAATATGAATGCAAAAGAATTAAGGAAATGATAGATTATATAAGTACTTTTAGGAAGGTGGTGACGAAAAGGGGATGTCTTTAAAAAAAAAATGGGGAATTCTAAAATGCGTGAGGTGAATAAATGAAATGAAAATAAATGAAAATGAAAAAAAACCAATATGCCGGTTAATATTTGAAGAAAAGATATTTTTAAAGTGGGGTAACAAAGGGGAAACAAAAATAAGCAAAAAAGTGTCAACGTTAAAACTCAAATAATAACTATCGTTCCATTAAAAATCCCTCGAAATCATGTCCAGAGAATTAATTGATTATCTTTCTAATGGGTAGTTCGCCAAATAAAAATTTGGACATGTACTTAACAGCCTTCTGAGCGCCACCATCCCGTGATAACGGGTACAAGATGGCATAATTATGCGAGTTGTTTTCTTCGACCACAATTTCCGCTTCAACATCTTGACTTCTCGCTTTTTCGATGAAAAGTGTAATGTCGTCAAGAAATAGTTCGTAACTACCGACACATATCCACGTACGGGGTAGTCCTTTGAAGCGACGTTCGTATAA